ACACACCATTATTATGGTTATTGATTATAAAAAAAGCTGAAAGGACATTTTGAATAACCTTTAATTTCAATGATTTGTCACCATTATTAATGAGTCTGTATTTCTACTCATTTCGTGTGGCTAACCCGTATTGATCCACACTTCAATAGAGTTCACTCCGATATATTATCTTGATGTTGTTCCGCTCTTATAGCTTCTTTAATAATGCAGCATGGAAGTTAGTGCTCAGGATGGATTCAGAGGAAACCGTTGATGCATTCTAAGAACTGGATACAGCGTTGAAGGCCTTGTTCATTCCTGAGAGCTGTTTATTGGTGCTGATGCACGATTAACCTGACTCTTGAGCAAAACGTCACAAATTACCAGAGGTGGGACCAAGTCTTTGCGCTCAAGTCCGAGTCAAGTCTCAAGTCTTTGCGCTCAAGTCCAAGTCAAGTCTCAAGTCAGGATGGGCCAGTTCAAGTTCAAGTCAAGTCAAGTCCTAAACTTTGACAAAACGAGTCATAAACAAGTCATTATGTGTTTTTCACCAAATGTAATGACATCGATCAACAGAATAATACTTAATAATCAAACAGCTCTTTATTAGTCACATTAATAATTTAATAATCAATTTTCTCTCTGCTGGTAAAGTAACGTGTGTTTTTCTAATTTAAGAGGGATCAGTAAGGTAAGGCTACCGTGACGGTTTGATTCAGAAGGAGTTTAATGAATAAGATCCCTGATGTTGAGGTAACCAGAATGTTTATTTCCACTGTGTACAACATGTTATAAGGGACCCACAATCTATCTTTATGCAAGGGATAATGTGCAGCGAGGCGGTCTCTATGGGGAAAAGAACACCTGCATCTAGATCCCTCTGTGGTACTTTAAGTATATATTGATGCTAATACTTTTGTACTTTTACTTGTAACATTTTGAATGCAGGACTTTTTATTGTACAGGGTTCCTGCAGGTTTCGCCAACTCAAATGTAAGACTTTTTAACACCTTTTTAAGACCACTTTGAATAGGATTTAAGACCTATTTAACGGCAATAAAGTATGAAGGAAAATGTATATAAAGAAGAAATACGTCCCATAATCACTTACAAAGTAAATGCATTCATGTTCAACATAAGAACAATGACTGAACACAACAGCGTAACAGTACAGAACTGTGTTAGCGTGTTAGACAAAAAGTGTGTATGTGTGTGCGTCTGTGTGTGCTTGAGTGTGTGTGTGTGTGTGTGTGTGTGTGTGTGTGTGTGTGTGTGTGTGTTAGGGCTGTGCAATTAATCATATTTTAATCGCAATTACGATTTTGGCCTGCCACAATTACGAAAACAACATCGGAAAAAACGATTATTTTGCTTTGCTAGGTTGTGACAGTGCACCACAACATATTTGATCTAATGAATTTTTTAGTAATGTATCATTTATTTAATTAATTTTTGTATTGGTTTTTCAGTTGAATTATACGTTCAGGGTAATCAACAGTTAAAAAGATACTGTTCAAATTATTATCTGTTTTAAAGTTCAATAAATGGATGTTTTCAAAGTCAATGAATAATCATATTTAATAATCGTGATATTAATTATTGACCAACATAATCTTGATTATTGCCATAATCGAGCAGTGTGTGTGTGTGTGTGTGTGTGGTGTGTGTGTGTGTGTGTGTGTGTGTGTGTGTGTGTGTGTGTGTGTGTGTGTGTGGTGTGTGTGTGTGTGGGTGTGTGTGTGTGTGTGTGTGTGTGTGTGTGTGTGTGTGTGTGTGTGTGTGTGTGTGTGTGTGTGTGTGTGTGTGTGTGTGTGTGTGTGTGTGTGTGTGTGTGTGTGTGTGTGTGTGTGTGTGTGTGTGTGTGTGTGTGTGTGTGTGTGTGTGTGTGTGTGTTGTGTGTGTGTGTGTGTGTGTGTGTGTGTTGTGTGTGTGTGTGTGTGTGAGAGACAAGAGCTATATTCAGAGCTCTGCTGCCTTGGCTACACTATTTCATCGTTGCTGTTGTATGATTGGTGTTTAGTTACGGTATTTAGCGTCTACAGCACCTCCGCTTTTAGGGTTGATGTAGACCCAAACTTCGCCCGGAGGTCCCCCGGTGTTGTTGCGGGAGCTGCTGCATTAGCTGCTGCTGCATTAGCTGCTGCTGCACTAGCTAACGCTACATTAGCAAAACAAACACTAATTTATTTTGCAAAAGGTGCAGCGGGCTTCAAACACGTTCCCTCCACTGGTTTCAACTAAGCACTAAATTAGATGTTTTCCAACCAAATACGGTTGAATTTACACTTACCCATATTTATTTGTAAGTAGATTCGAAGATAGGCTACATGAGCTGAAGCTTGGTTGCTAGGTTACTAGCTGGGTGTTCTCCAATAAGGGGCCGGGGGAAACAAAGTTAGTGATTACTGGTTCCATGTTGATTTAATTCAATACAAATTGTTGGGGGAACTGAAAGGCTATTACCGTACTGGTTACTTTGCAGCCCGGACATTTCCCCCAAAACACATTTAGACGCTATCGCAACACAGAAGTACCTTTCAAATCCGATAATTTTTAAGACCTTCTGAATCATATTTAAGACCTTTTTAAGACTTGTTAAGACCCCGCGGGAACCCTGATTGTAACTTTTTTTTTAATTGTCTGAACTTCTCCCACCTCTGACAATAAATCCTGAGTGGTTACCAAAAAAAAACCCTGCTCTGAAGGTTATTTTCATTTTACAAATCCTGCACTCAGCTTTGCTTTCTCCATTATCATTGACAAGCAGCCAGATGCTGCTTATTTTTTCGGTTTTCGCTCATTTCTTGACTTTTTCCGACGCGCTTGCATTTAAATCCGGTTCCCCGTCTCCCCGTCGCTCTGCACATGCTGTGCCCCCACCCTTCTTTCACATAATGGTATGATCCTAGTGTGTCCTCGCATATGATTGGCCGCATGGTGGCCCAGCTAAATAAAGACCCGCCCCTGCCTGCAAGGATTCTCAGCAAGAGTAGGAGCGGCTGAAGATTCTGCTTTCCCCGACGGGAGTCTGCTCTTCTAACGGCAGCTCGCGATCGGCGTGTTGGAGACCTCTGAATTAAAGTAGCAAGTCACCTCAAGTCAGAAGGCTCAAGTCCAAGTCAAGTCCCGAGTCATTGGTGTTCAAGTCCAAGTCGAGTCGCAAGTCTTTTGTGATGTTGTCAAGTCGAGTCTCAAGTCATAAAATGTGTGACTCGAGTCTGACTCGAGTCCAAGTCATGTGACTCGAGTCCACACCTCTGCAAATTACCCATCATGCCTTGCTATCGAGAGCAGAAGTACTTTGGGTGTTTCTCAATGTAGAGTACGCTTGCTTGGTAGCACATGTCTTCCGAGTCACTTGCTTCAGAAGCGTGGCAAGAATACATCCTGGCATTCAGAAAACAAAGAGTGGAACAGGCGAGCAAGTGTGCACGTGTGCGTCAGAGAGGCCCCGCCTTACATTTTCCGCCACAGATTTGGGGAAATTGGTCCGTGCGCAAAGCATTGTGAGGATTTTAAGACCAGAGTCTACACATGTGCAGCCTCGAAATCTCTCCAAACGAAGTACGCCAGGCTCGGTAGAATTCCAAGTATGCTGGACATTGGAACAGGCCTTCGGTGGCACTCGATGACGTAGTGTGCTTGAAATAGTGGCTCTGGAGCAGCTTTACTCGACATTGAGAAACACCCCGAATGTGCGCTCATAGAGCGGCGCAGTTGAGTTTCCTCTCAAGCCCCGCCTCCTGTCATTAAGCCCCGCCCCTGATCTCCCGCTTTCGGCTCAGTAGAATGAATCGAAAGAGAACATAAATCTGGATTTAGCTTTAAAAGCAACTTAAAAAACCTAATGATTCAACTAAGGGCTATACAATTGTTCGTGCTAGTTAGTTTATTTAGTTTAAAAAATAATAATCTGATTTTCAGACGCCTCTTTCTCAATGCAAGTCAATGGGGTAAGTATTTTTCGGCCCAGTTTCGTCACGGACTGAAGTTGTAGTACCGCCACGTGGCCACTACAGATATCTGCCTCAGCGTCCGGCGCACTTCCTGAGTGCTTCTAGGAAACACTTACTGACGTTCTGATTGGTCCTTGAAACTCAAACGCTTCCTCCTTCATTTCATAGAAGTCCGCTTGTGCAAAACGCTGCTGCTCTCCCCTCTATAACAGTTTTTGCAAACAAATTATACATTAAGAGAGTGCTTTGGTGTGTTTTTTAAAAAAAAGGGTAAAATCCTCTTTATTTTGCTTTTTGAACAGAAAATAGGAATCTGGGAGGATAGCAAATCTGCACCTTTGAAAAAGAAGTGGATTCACTGTTGTCGTAACTTCTTATATGAAGTTATATTTGGGTGTGTAGATGTACAAGGAAAATCTCCACTATGTTTGACCTATCTATGTTTTGTAGTCTTTGCAATGTTAAATCTCCCTGGATGGTTGACACTGATTTACAAACAAACACAAATCTCCACTTAGTGTGTTCAATTGGGTGCAGAAATAACCTATTAAAGTCCAAATGAGGCCTTTTTTTAGGCACTGTTTGTTTGAATTACCCTGCACTACTTAAAATATATCTTGAGTCATGATGTGACCGAATGTTAAAGTAGTCCTTTCCTCAAGAAGCTTCTAAGAATAAGGAAGTGACTGGAAGTAAATGTAGATTATCTCCACAGAAAAATGTGTCAAATGTCTTGTCTATTTATATCTTTCAAACTAAATATCTTCCATGTTTGAACACAGTCTCTTCGTCCCTCATCCAACAGTATGAAATTTTACCCAATATACCAATGAAGAAGACATGCACAACTCTACTTAACATGTCTTTTAGCTGATACTTTTATCAAAATATGCAACAGTGTGGATATAAACTGTTTCAAGGGGCATGTGTTTTGACTCTGTATAATAAATGATATATGTGCCTTTGTGTTTTGACACAAACTACAAACATGGCTCAGCTCCATCATCTCACAGAATGATTCCTGTGTTCCCGCTGTAATGGATTAAATGTTGATGTGTCCAACAGGGAGAAACGAGACGATGCAGCCGTCCAAGCCGTCCTTCCTCGAGTACTTTGAGCAGAAAGAGAAGGAGGCCAACAGTCACAACGAGGGAGGAGGAAGAGGAGAAAACAACGCAGACAACCGCAAGCTGCCCGCTGACGGAGACTTTGAAGTGGTGAGTCTTGAAGTTAACATTTAGTTATACGACATAAAATACATCAGTAAATAAATACCCCACTGGTGAATTTAAAAACAGGGGTTGCTAACAAGTTCTAAATGAGACGACTAAACGTCATTACGCCCAACATTAGCCGCCTTTAGCTTAGCGGTGGTGACGTGAAGTCATGTCGTGCTGTAGTTCCTTTATAGCCCAACATTAGCCACAGAGATTATTTTCTGCAATATGCTAAAACACAACGGAAAGGTACCATTGTTTTTAATTGAGAACAAAGGAGATGCCGCTTCAAGTTCAGCATAAAATAAATCATCATTGCACAACTTTATAGAGAGTGAATGTGCTGACTGGGAAGTACATTATCACTAGTCAGTATACCGCGGTGATGCATTCTGAAGGTATCCACTAGGGCTGTACCCGAAATATCCGAATATTCGTTCGTTGGAGTACTATTCGGGTTTCAATTTCGTTATTCGGATATTTTTTTTTCCGTTTTTTTTTTTTTTAATTGATTGAAATCTCCAATATCGACGTAAGAGCTTGTGCCTCTTCGGGGGGTGCTAACACTTAACCATAAACGCTATAGTTTACTTTCTCCATCTTTATATATAGATATTACTTTTTCTCCATTAATCTCCGTCACGTTGTTTCCATAGCAACAACAACTTCCTGTCAACTGCGCTAACTCTCCTTCAAAATAAAAGCATGTCCATGCAAAATAGGAAGCCAAGCAAAATTACACTTAAGACATATACAACTGCAACGAAAGTAACAAACACAATGCGATATCCTTTTCAATTTCAAAGAACACAAATTGGGTTACATTAACAAATAACTATAAAACAACAATACTGTAGAACAGGGGTGCCCAACCAGTCGATCGCGAGATGTGTCTAAAAATAGAACAACAATATTCTGTTTTATCGTTAACGTCCTATAATCTTCCTGTGCCAGAATAATGCACTTGAACGCATCAAAGCTTTGTGATTGGCCGGCGTGACCCCATGTGTCGGGGCGTGGCTGGTGGGCAGTGGGCATAGTTTGTTGACATTATCCGTGTTCTCAAAACAGCAGTTCTCAGCAGTTCTCAAATCAGCAGCATCCAACAGTCTCTAATCCTTGTATATTACATGTCACTGCATGCATGCACGGAGCAGCTATAGCGCGGAGATCATCACTATCATCATCATTCTGTCTTGTATTACTTAACAAAAAACGGCTCGTTCGCGGGTGCGAGCCGGCTCCCGTCTTCGAGCCGGCTCGTTCGCGACCGACACATCACTAGTCAACAGGAGTGACAGTCCGCACACACACAAGACCGCACTTATGGCAGAAGCAAAAAAGCCCAAAATATATAATTTTCACTCCGAGTGGGAGGATGATTATTTGTGTATCTATTCCAATTCAACGTCCATCTGTCTCATCTGCAATGCGAGCGTGGCTTTATCGAAGAAGGGTAATTTAGGAGCGGCATTTCAAAACAGTGCACAAACGCTACGAGACGGAATTCCCTCCTAATTCTGCCTACGCTCCAAAAGGGGAGGGGCCTGAAAGGACAGCTAAATGCACAGTAGTCCATTTTCACCAGGCCCAGCAACAAGAGCAAGGCTGCTACCATAGCATCTTATCGTGTCAGTCACGTTCTTGCGAAACACATGAAGTCTTTAAAAGAAGGCGAAGTTGTGAAAGAAGCATTCCTGGAGGCTGCCAACGCGCTTTTGGGGACAGTAAAAATAACAGTAGCATTTCAACAGGTTTTTGATATAATAAAAACTCAAGTTAGATACCGTTATTAATCAGCTGTAAGTTTTAGTTTGCTTGAACTTATTCATTGTAATTATTGTACAAAATGGTATAAGAATGCAAACTTAAATTGATTATAGTCTATTATCAATTCAGGTTAAGAAACTAGTGTTGCTTGCATCCTATTTTAAAGGTATTTATTTTTATAATCTACTAAAATGCAACAAAAAAAGGGTTTGATTCTATTAATTTTGTCTTTTTTATTGCACTTTGGCAGCAGATTCCTGTGTAGCTTCAGATCTGAGTTGTCTTATTAGTAAGCCTCATTTATACTTTTGTAGCAACGCTATTTTTATATAATGGCAAAGAAAGGGTTCAGAGTCTTTTCTTTTTGTCCTGTGTCATATGTGGCAGCACTGTTCAATGTTTCTTGAAAACATTACCCACTGTAGTGACGTGTGAATAAACTCCAACTCTTTATCAACAACACTGTTGTGTAACTTCAGTTAAATACTTGTATGTGTGTAGATTAGAAAGAGGTAAGATAAAGGATCTGCAGTATTTTATGAAGTATTAATCGTACAAAGGTCAGTTTTATACAAGTAGAAGTGTGTATTTACCTGGTAGGAGGCTGTCAGTAATGGCTACGCCTCTCTATTTGGACTGGTAGATCTCGGCAGACTGGCAACTTTAAAAGTAGCTCTCGGTTCAAAAAAGGTTGGGCACCCCTGCTGTAGAATAACAAAAAGAATGCCGTGAATAAACCGAAATACACGTGTCCAAGCGGTTCACTGCTGATTACTACGCACCCCCCCCCCCTTCCCCCACGCGGAACGAATATTCGAATATTCGCTGCTGATTACTACCGAATATCCGGAGCCCGAAAAATGGTATTCGGGACAGCCCTAGTATCCACACACTCTTCAGCTGTCTTCCAGAGCCAACAGTCTTCAACACTAGCTCACACACAGAGTACACACATACTAATTATTCATTTGTCCAGCTTTATTTTGCAGCCTAGGATGACTTTAAGCAGATGCTGTTGCACCTTGAATTCAGCCATTGCATTCTTATCTTATTTATCGTCTAGAATAGACATTCAATTAATCAAAGTCAGCGCCCCATATTGCTATCTTCCAGGCTAATGTAGCTGTAACATTTTGCAGAGAGATTACCTTACAACAAACCCTTTTTTCCCCCTGGCAACATTAACACATTAACAGTTATATTTGTGGCTAATGTACCAACATACTGTCTTTGAGTGCCCAAATATACCAAAACGCACAGGACAGATCTGGCTGCTACATTGGTTAGCTTAAAATGTGCAAATGACTGTATCAGCTAACAGGATAAAGAAACCAACAGCAGGTCCATGCAGCGTGTTGTTTTGCCCACAGACGTTTAAGCTGGACAAATGGCTGCAGCTGCTGGTATTAAATATTAAATATGACCTTTATAAATACGAAGTGGCCTCTCTCCCAGGACCACCCATCTGCTGCGCATCTTCACATGCTCAGAGTCACTGAACACTTCTGTTTCTCCAACAGTAAGGCATAATTTCTGGATACTTTTAATCATTAAAGGGAGATAAAATAGATCTTTCCTGCTCTCATAGTGAAGTTGGGTTACCACACACACACACACACACACACACACACACACACACACACACACACACCCCCCTAACACACAGTGACAGCTCACCGCAGGATGACCCTAACACTCACTGGTTATTTAATACTACTCTCTGTGGACATGAACACTGTCACACATGGGTGTTTTGCACATTGCTGTGACACACACACACACACACACACACACACACACACTCAGATGACATAATATATCTCTCTCACACATTTGAATACTTTATTTGGTTCCACAAATTATATTACATAAGACAGGGAATCAAATATATCGGGGCTAAGCAGCACAGAACACTCAGGGGAACACATAGCATCTCCTTCTCCACACGGCTAAGCAGCAGCCTTACGGGTACACATAGCACCTCCTCACACACACACGCACAGACACAGACAGTTCTAGTGTGTCTGGCGGAGCTAATTTAAAGATACACTCATACTATCTTATGAGAAATATGTAGTGTTTAATAGACCGGGGGTCCGCGGGGTCTTAAAAAGTATTAAAAGTTGATAAATCAATTTAGCGAAAATTAAGGCTATTCAAAAGTATGAAACTGCATTTTCCAAGGTATTCCATTTTGTAGCTTGTTTTCAATAAGTATATAAATTGTCCAAAGAGGTTATATTCTACAGTCTGCCTGAATGTAATCATTGCGTAGGTGTGTAGTGTGATTCTGTGTAGTTTATTGATGGCATCCCGTTGGATGTGACGTCATCTGAACAGGACATCGCACGCTCACTGCTTGATAGTGCGAAGGTCCGTTTACGCCGGTTGTTAAACAACATCGTTATGGGGAAATGCAAGTCTGCGTCCAAATGGTTGGAAGATAAGGAGGAAGGACAATCAATACTGTATATGTGAGGTAAAGTGTGTCGCCAAGGTAACCGGTTAAAACTCCAAGTGGCGATGAGGTCTTAAAATGTATGAAAAGGGTCTTAAAAAAGATCTTAAAAGGTTTTACATTTGACTTCAGGATTCCTGCGTATACCCTGATATATTATTATGTACTATTTCAAGCCTGGCTTATAATGACTAAAGCAATACCAAACACATGATTGTCTATTATATATAATAACATGATATTCATTTTCTTTTTTTTAAATACAACAGATTTAGCCGCTATTAATGAGGTTTTAATAAATGTCTTCATAAATCAATCTTCCCACAAAGGTCCCACATTGATTCATAATTCAAACCTTTTATGATACAAAATACATGTTTGTCAATCCTAAGAAGTGCTACCCAGTTCTGAGTTTAAATTATTTAACAAATGGCCAAAAAAACAGATACAAAAACACAGATTAAGGTGTTCTGGGAGGCTCGTTAATAACATCATTGATTTCTCAGCGTCACATAACTTAGCTCATCATGAATCCATATATTATATACAGACGTCCTTTTGTTGTCCTCGTACAAGTTTGACATCTATTTGGATCGAGTTTAAAAACTAGTTTGAACTTTTAAACCACTTGTACTTTGTGTGAAAGGAGCAAACATAAACTGCTGGTCATTAGAACGTAAATCTAGAAATAAATAAACGGTTTGAATTTAGTTTGAAGTATGGCTGCTCGATTCTGGCAAAAATCATAATCACGGTTATTTTTGGTCAATAT